ATGTCCAGGTTCCTGCGGCAGATGTCGTAGATGGCCTCATTGTCCACCATGAAGGCGCAGTCAGAGTGCTCCAGGGTGGTGTGGGTGGTCAGGATGGAGTTGTATGGCTCCACCACAGCTGTGGACACTTGAGGAGCTGGGTACACTGCAAACTCTAGCTTGGACTTTTTGCCATAGTCGACAGAGAGACGCTCCATGAGCAGAGAGGTGAAGCCTGAGCCAGTTCCTCCTCCAAAGGAGTGGAAGATGAGGAAACCCTGTAGCCCAGTGCACTGGTCAGCCTGCAGGGAAATAAAATAAATGCATTCTTTCCATACTCAACTAACTCTGAACTGAAACACAAAACCTTTGCAGGCAAACTCACCAGTTTACGAATCCTGTCGAGCACCAGGTCAATAATCTCTTTCCCAATGGTGTAGTGACCSCGAGCGTAGTTATTAGCTGCATCTTCTTTTCCAGTGATCAGCTGCTCAGGATGGAAGAGCTGGCGGTAGGTGCCTGTACGGACCTCATCTGTCATTGGAAAACAGAGATGATATAAAAAGTAGTTCCTGAATCCAGTTTAATCTACAGTACCAGTAGCAATATAGTAGAAAAAATTATTTTACCTATGACTGTTGGCTCCAGGTCGACAAAAACTGCTCTGGGGACATGTTTGCCAGCTCCAGTCTCACTAAAGAAGGTGTTGAAGGAGTCGTCTCCTCCTCCAATGGTCTTGTCGCTGGGCATCTGACCATCAGGCTGGATGCCATGCTCAAGGCAGTACAGCTCCCAGCATGCATTGCCCATTTGCACACCGGCCTGACCAACATGGACAGAGAGGCATTCCCGCTTGAGGGGCATAGAAAAAAGGTGTCGTTAGAAAAATTGCACATTGCTGTTTGTATTCATACTTGAGGCAAGAAAGTAAAAACCCAGTGCTGAAACTGCAGAAGCTTACCATGATTATAAATTTCTGCTGCACACGTTGAGGATCTGCAGGGGAAATTTGCTGTGGATGTGCCTTAAGATTTGTCAGGTACTTATAGTTTCTTCAAACTCTATGGTAACACGGTTTGTTGTCGATAAATGAGGGCGTCAACTGTGTTGAGTGGTGTAGGAAAAGCCAATCATTCAGCCGAGGAATGCGATGTGCAAACTCTCCACCACACATCATTAACCCTCCGTCCTGCACCAAGATAATGTATAACCTGGACCCGGCGATAAAGCAAACAATGCATTGTATTAGTGTTTGTGGATTACACTGAGATATACAAAGTCACGTCTCTGTGGGGGGCTGAGATCTCCAAGGAGATCCTTTGGAGCCAGTCAAGGATATTCAGTCAGATCCCCAAATACTTGTACCCAGAGACCTTGTTCATAAATCTGTCTCATAGCTGAACAGAACTGCAATCCTGTGCAGAGAAAAATACTTGATGTCAATGGCTGTCTGAGATGAATAATCTCTAATAAAATTACCTTCTCTTGTCCATGAAAATGAAAAGTTATAAATTAAATGTTGAAAAAACAGAACTGTTTAACCAATCCACTTACTTAATTTTTTAATTTGCCTCATATAAAGTGTTTGGTCTTTTAGTGTGCTTTCATGTGGCTTGTTGAAAGTGCACTTTTGATCCATTGTTGCAGAGGTAGGAAATGGACCCACCCTCCCTGTCCCCCATCCATGAGGCCCGGCCTGCTCTGTTGTGTTTTCCACATGACTGAGTGTCCTGTTGTTACAGAAACACTGAAGGTCACTGCTGGTGTGAAGCTCAGTGAGATTAACACAACAATGAGGCCTTTAGCTGGATGGCTGGTTAACTGATACCAAATTCATAAACACTCAAATAAAGTTTAAAACTGGGTTAAACACTCTTTTTCAAAATCAGTTTGTCTCCTTAACGTGTTATTTTTTTAAAGACACATCTTGTATATTTAAATCTGAGAGACATGGACAATCTCATGTTCTGACATTACTTGTCCTGTAGAGCAGCCTCACATGAAGTTTTTAATGAATAGTATGAAGCTACTTCAAACCCAATTCTGCACAGTTTTTATTAGAGATCCAATATGCAATGTGCACACCACCACCTGCTGGTATATAATGGAAATTCAGCAGTGTGCCTCTTAAACTATGCTGACATCAGAATCAACTTCAACGTTATTCTAGTGATGATTGTAAATCTCAAAATGTGTATCAAGTAAAACAGTATAATAAGTTTAACCCGATACGATGAATACAAATTGAGTATATTATTTATATAAAAACAAATACTGCTTTACAAGTACAAGAGTCAAGTAGTCATTTTTTTAATTGGGGAATATGAATAAAGTAAAAATGAGACATCACACATTCACACGGCTTCATTAGTCTTTAATAACTGATTTGATCCAGCAGATGGTGCAATAGTTACCACATGTTCCTTAAAACCACATTTAAAAATAAATGTTTTCATGGGTTTAACTTTGGTTTCTGCACAGTGTTCGGTTTAAATTACTTTGGATGACAGCCTCAGCATTTCGAACTAAACAAAGGTTTAGATTTTAATGTCCGAGCCTTGTTATGACGGATGTTGCAGCCATGGACACACAGTCCTGTCCAACAGATCACAGAGGTTCATATGAAAGAATTTTTAAGTAAAGAGTTTGTCTAAATCAGTGGTAAATAAATAACTGAAGAAGATGAAGGGGGAAATAATTCAAAGCTGAGTTTGAGAGGTTTTTGCATTTCACACCTCAATGAAAAGATGATTCAAAAAAATCGAAATAAAACCACATGTGCATTAGAAAATGTAAGCCACAAGCCAAGTCATGTCCTCAAAATTGTCGTAACATAAATGAAAAACCACTGTTCCCTTTGACAAGCCCCAGAAACTAATAGATTTTTAAAATGCAAGGCAGAGCCCTGCAAACATACGGTTTATATCTGTGGTGTTTTCCAGAGTGCTAGTCTGGGACACCTGCACTTTTTGCCAATCACAACCATATTTCATAGTGCGACCCCAACTGGTGTTAGCATTTGTTGTCTTATGAAGTAAATGACGACAGGATCAAATGCTTCATGCAAGGAACTGTGAAAAGTTCTTGAAGTAATATTTTTGAAAAGCTTTGACAATAGCTGACAATACACAACATAAATATTTTGACATTCATACAGTAAAGTCACGACTTCCTCCCAATTAAATATTTTTGGGATATTGCTAACACAGTTTTTTGTGTTTCATTGGAGTTCAGCAACATATAAATAATTTAGGAATTAGAATAAAGAATAATATGTTTATTTTTGGGTGCATAATTTGACATCTTAAACATATCAGATACCAGAAAACCCACTTTGTCTCTGTTATATTTTTACTTTGACATATGCTTTATTTGCTTTGCATAAAATGTGCTCAAGACATCTGTGATGATTCCACAGACGAGCACAGAGACATTCTTTTCAGCCGCACAAACAAATCACTTGGTGTCAAAGCCATTGACACGTCCTTTCTCATCACGCTGAGCCAATATTTTATCCTGCATAAATAAACATTTCATTGCGATTAGATTTTTTCAGATTACCCATCTGAAGAGTTTGAGGCAGAGATTGGGCAACAGAATCTTTTAGGTGTCACGAGCCTCAAAACTTCTGGGTAAAGTTTTCAGGGAAAACACCTTTGGCGGAAGCATCCTTCTCCTGCAACCATTGAGACTCCTTCACACCCATGAGCCAGCCGTCATCCTGCAGAGAGACAAATGAGTGAGGGACAGACTTTAAAAAATTTAATCACTGCATTTAAAACTTTCTCACATGAAAAGTGTAAAGTATTTTTCCACGTACAGTCATTTCCCAATTAGTAGTCCTCTTTATGGAGCTATAAAATGTTAAGTTGTTTACCCTCATTATACAAGTAAGGAGATGGTGTTTCTCATTCAGGACAAATTGAACCATTGATGGCTTTAAAAAAAGATTTTTTTTAACAAATGCAAATAAAGGTAATTACAGAAGATGGAAAAGTTGAACTTTTCACTGACCTGTTCGTCTGGGTTGTCAAAGCCCAAAACAAGCACAACATCTCCCATCTTCAGCTCCAGCTCATCCCCGTCGGTGGCAGCATAATCGTGTACCGCTTTTACCTGGAGGGAAATAAAGCCAGAAGCCAAAAAAAGATGAAGATCAAATATGGACCTTTCTGTATTAACCCATCAGGAGCATGTTGGTGTTGTATTTTCACCTTGTAGAGAAATCCTTGAGGGAGTTCGCCGTCAGAGCCATTGGTCACAGCACTCTGTGCCAAAAAACAAGCAGAGTCCATATATATTTATATATAGATATTATTAAGGAAGTCAAAGAAATTGTAGCTGACAGGAAATCTGAGATATTCAAAAAAAGAGCTGAAAGAAAGAGAGGTTTTTATCACTTTCACCAGATTTTGAGGGATTCTCAACTTCTAGGCTTTATCCTGCGTTTATTTCAAGACCCCACTGAGGTCCCACCTGCCTCCCTATCCACCCAACTCTACCTGCTCCCCTTCATCGCCCCAGCCTCCCTGTCCCACACTGGCGCCATCGTCATCCCAATTGGGTTCAGTGTACAACTGAGCTGCAGAGCCTTGGTCGGCGTTCCAGCTTTCCTGAGCCGCCTCTGCATCGTCCCAACCAGGCTGAGTGCAGCTCTGGGCAGCGGGTTCATGATAATCCCAGCCACCTTGGGCCTCTGCTGGGTACTGGTCATCTTCGTGCTGGGATTCCTGCTCTGCAGTGGGTTGTTCCTGCTATGGAGGTCATAGGTTGTGGGGCATTGTTGTGGGTTTGGAAGTGAGTGGAAGGGAAGGCAGGCGGATGGGAGGAGGACATATTGTACAGTAGAGAGAAGGTGCAAGAGGAGCATTGAGTCGGGAAGGGTTGACACCCAGGGTTGTGCAGGATGTCAGAAAAGCAGAGGAAGGAGGTTTTGAAGGGAAGATAATGCAGTTTATTTCTTAGTCCATAAGTATAGAAAATATAGCAAGAAAGCTAGTTGTGGTTTTCTGATTTGAACCCGTCCTTACCCAAGAGTCCCATGATGGCGTCTTCCGTGAGGCAGTAAGAGACAAGACAATTTGTAAGCCGAAAGTGTGGAAAAAGTTTTCTTCATATTCTTTACCCACATCAAACACTCACGTAGCACACAGAAATTCAAAGTGTTTTGAATTTGGCACAAGGCAACTGCCCCATTTCTGAGAATGCTGTAATACATAATAAAACTACCTATCCAGGTGGCTCTGCTGCATACCAAAGAAAAATAAAGTTTATAAGCCAACGACCACCAAGTGTTAACTGCAAGGGTGTTCCTTTTACTGTAGGTAGGTAGAATCTAGAACGATGGCTCCTCATAAAACACACAAAAATGTCATAATCTCAGGCAAAATTGGCACAACAATAGTTTTTCTGTATCATCAACCTTTTACATTGAATCATAGATTAGAGATGCAGATCTTTTATATCCAGACAGCCCTGTTCGCACTTTGAGATCCTTTGAACAGATTCTCGGCTAAAGAAGAAGGGGGACAGAGCTTTAGAAATAAGGGCTCTGGGGCTCTGGAACACCCTGCCTGAGGAAACACTGCAGGCTTAGTCAGAAGCTTCCTTTAAATCAAAGATTAAAATGTCTGGTATTTATTATGGTAAATTATTTTAACATTTGTTAAAAAACAACTCCATTATTTTTTATAGTTAATTAAATTTTATTTTCTATCTACAATTAATCAATCACTGTCATCATTAAATTGGTATCAAGCAAACATGCAGATTGAGGCTGGGCATGCACAAAGAAAACCATGCAGTGGATTTGTTAAAGTTAGAATAATAGAATTGAATTCACTCTCTAACTCACACACCTAGCCCAAGATGACATGGACTACATTTACATGCAGTGTAAAATTAGATTTTTGCATTACAAGAGAGACGTGTAAAGCAGTCTGCAGCATTTTGTCTATATTTGGAGGATTACTATAATTCTTTTCACCTGGAATAGTCAAGTCACAGTATCTTTAGCAGAAGCTGCTGCCCTGTAGGTCGTATTAAACTGGATGTAAACAAAGTCTCCGACGGACACGTCATCCTCAACAACGCACACCCACCTTGGGAGCTGGAGATGTGACGGGCTGTAAAACCTCCACATCCCAGTCCAGCAGGCTGACCCCTGACCAGGGCTCACACTGCCTCACACACACACACACAAGGTGAGGAGGGTTATTAACTGCAATGTTTAAAATGACCTTTCAATTTGAAGAGACACATTCAGCAGAAGCCGAGTGTTGCATGAGTTTTTTTAATTCTTCATGCTTTTATCCCCATGTCTGTTTCCCAGTGCGACACTTGAAAGTGTATTAATGCCAGTTGTAAATGTGCAGCTACATTTTCAAGTTACAGTATATTATCTCACGCTATGTATTTAAACACACTAAAGCTTTTGGATTGATCTGACTCCTGCAAACACACAAATAATAATCAGGTTGCTCATTGCTAACATATTGTTGAAGTAAAGTCGTAAAGTGAACACACAGTGGATATTCAAATAAATTGTGGGATGGAATAAAGTAGTACATGGAATAACAAGTAAAAGGTAAAAAACTTTTTATAAAAGTAATCTGCTCATTGCATTTAAAAATAAAACTGATTTTAGTGAAGAGTTGTATAATGAACAATTAACTTTTTGATCAAGAAAAAAAAAATGATATACTCATTTGAGTTAGTGTCACTGACATTCAAACTAACCTATAGTATATTTACTACACATGCTTATGACTAAATAAATCACTGTCCACCAAAGATAAGTTCCTTCCCTCTGTGTGTGTATACGTACACATATATATGTGTACATGTACACACACAGAGTATATGTATATACTCAGTAGATCAATCATCATTACCTCTATGCCTTTTTAAACTAAACATGTACTGTCATAGGCAGCAGAGTCAAAAGCCGTCTTATTTAAGATACAACACAAAATGTGGTTGCAATAGAAGTCAGATAAAATAAATAAAATTAGTTAAAACACAGGAGCACCAGAGTTACAAATCAAATTTTAAAAATGCTTTCCTATGAAGATGAGTTTTGAGCAGTGATTCAAAGATAAGTAGTGAGTTGGTGAGCCTAATCTTGTCATTTTGTCGGCAACATTATCAATCGTATGTAATGGGTTTTTTTTCATGGCTAATATCCTGTTGTGTTTCATTTTAAAGAAAGTGCCGGAGGAAACCGAAGAGGAGTTCAGGAAGAAGATGATGGCTAAGTTTGCAGAGGACGATCGGCTCGAGCAGATGGGTGACGACAAAATACATTGGACACAGTGTATCCACAGATGCAAGGTGGAGAAACTGATACAGGACAGGAGACAACAGCATGGTGTTGAGTTAAAACTCAGAACAGAAGGCAGGAATAATCTTTAAACCAGAAAAACTACTACTTCCTACTACTTCTTAAATACTCCCACTTTACATCTGCTCCCCAGACACTCAGTAGCTGCCCACTGCTCCGTGTGGTCAATGCTCACACATGATGGGTTAAAGGCAAGTGGTAACAACTCGGGCTGAGCGATGAGGCCAATACAGAAGTGCAAAAAGCTGCAGTTCTATGGGTGGCCACTTGAGGCTGGCTTCAAGAAGGGCGACGGGAGTTATTAAACCGACATGGACCGGTCCACACGGCAGAGAGAGAAGCGTTAGAGTTTATGGTGATACATCTTTTAAACTGAAGGCGACTGTTATGTAAAGTTGGCTTGACTATGTTACTGTGAGTAACTTCAGTATATATATATTAGTTGGTGGAGTGGTCGGTCAGTCTGACCTGGTGTGTTGTCGTCGTCGTGGCGGAGTCGACGTTAGGGTCAGGCACCGAGGCCTCGTTGTCAAACAGGCTGACGTTCTGCTGCTGGACAGGGTCCGGAGACGGCGACGGCCTGGGGGGAGGCCGACTGGGAGGTGGGCCGGGCCTCTGCACCGCCAGGAGGGGTTATTCAAAACCACACACACGTGCACACATGCCGAGCAGTGACAGACAGACACGTTAGTACGCACAACATGATGGATGAGAATTTTTTTCTTGAGCATTTTCTTTTGAAACATTTGGTGGTTTAAATCTACAAGACGTTTATAGTTTTTTTATTTACAACTCCAGCATATCCTTTCTTTAAAGTCCTTTAAAACACAATCAAGTGTTTTTAAGAAGCTGAATATTAGTTCTGCTTGTACTATAGAAAAACAAAACACATGGATCATTTCAAAAAAAAAAAAAAAATCCCTTCATAATAATCCCCATGTCGTTTATGACAACTTTTGAAAAACAAAAGAAAATGAGAGAAAGTCAACAACCGAATTATTAATAAATAGAAAAAACTAAATGAAATCTGCATTTACAGTAGTTGCTTTATGTAAAAGTATTTTTTTAAATATCACACTCCATGTGAAGTCTAAGCATAAATCAAGTGGACATAGTCAGTGTGTCTCCTTTTTTACCTTTTGTGCTGGGCTGACTGATTTGCTGTCGTCGGCTTCCTCACTGAGAGAGGAGAAACAGACGAGAGGTTGGCAGGGGAAAAGGAGCCAAAGGAAGAAATTTAAAATAAAAGAGCGAGGATACCAGGAGGGAGAAAGAGGATGTGTAGGTTACAATAGAGAGGAGAGACAGACTATAATAAACAAGCATCTGCTGTATTTCAACAGGTGACGCGTGGTCGGCCTCACACTCAGATACCCAGAGCAACACATGCACCTGACACCGTCTATATGCGGAAGGTTATTGTCAGATAAAAAAGTCTCAAACAAAACAACAAGATGAATCATTTCAACACAGAAGTTAGATGAAGCAAAGAAAGTTCAAGGTATGATTCCCAGATCAGGTCAGCTCCAGAAATCTGAACACTCAAAAAACTTCACTACAAATCAAATTATATCACAAGGGAAAGAATTCACAAGTTGTCGTTTTTTTTACAATAAATTTTAGAAAGGCATAGTCTCAAGAACATCAATATAACTATGAAGTTCTTTTCAAAATATCACAGCGTTTGTGCATTAAAAGTTAGATTTTACTCCTGAAATCTTTTTACTTTATTCTTTAATCTGACTTTTGTACGATGATAATTGGTTTCTCAAAATGAAACAACTTTATTCTTAAATATGACTCAACGCGTGGTAAATTATCTTATTAGATATTTCCTTGCATAAATAAACGAGATGTTAGGGGACCTCTGGTTTTGTTTATTGATAAGCCTGTAGTTTAAGCCACAAACCAACCATAAGCTAGAAATTAAGCAGTGTTGCATTAGAAGCTGCATGCACACCCAACGTGCATGAAATGAAGATCAGCGTGCAGCGGGTTTTACCTCTTTGCACCATCTTCTGTCTTTGCTGCTGCAGTACCATCTTTTCTGCAGTAGGACACAGTGTTATGGACATCACTCATGTGTTTTGTTGTTGTTGTGTATTTAAACTTAACTGTTGTAACCATGGAAGGGTTATTATACAGGCAAACTAGGGTTAAGGCCCAGGGGCCCGAGCTGCAACAAGTTGAGTTTCATTTGTTCTGCGTCATTTATTTTTTGGGAGGGAAGCACACAAAAAGAAACGGCTGCAGAGTAACACAAAATGAATACAGAGAGATGCAACAATCACGGGTATAAGCACCAAGAACACAGAAAACACACCAAAGAGACAGGCTCGACCACACAGAGACTCAAAACATCTAAAAAGATGCAAAACAACCACAAAAAGATGCCCAACAACAACTGAAAGACATAAGAGGCTCAAACTGCTTCCAAATCAGGCCAGATGCAGGCAAAGCAACCACTCACACATGCAGAATGACCACAACAATGAAAAAGAAAAAGTTTCTTCATGACCACAAATGCATGGAACACAAACCATAAAGGCACATTGACATATCTGCAAGCAGTGGCCTGTTTTCCTCTTAACGCGTCCATGGTTTTTAACTTCTTAACTTTTTTAACTCTGTCCAGTTCACTTACTTGAGCTGCCGCTGCTCCTCCAGTTTGGTCATGATGTCGTTCAGGTTTTGGCTGAGCTGAGGAGACACACGGAGCAGGCAAATATTACCCATAGATCAAATGATCAATGCATGTTTGATCACATGTGGGCATGTTTACTCACCTTGCTCATATCTCTGTGGAACTTCTCCTGATGACCTGCCAGGCTCTGGAATGTGTTAACATAGACGCCAACACGACTGCACGCATACACACACATTTAAATTTTCTGGACAAAAAGGAAAAGACAGATTTTGCAGAATAATGATAAAAAAGCGTCTCACCTGTCCCACAGTGCTGGAAGCTCGTCTTGTAACTCCACGTTCAGCTCCTCAAAAATCTTCTGGGCTCGACCCAGGTCTTCCTCCGCCTGCGTGCGTGCACACACACACACACTTAATTGAAATATGTGCCATCAATCCAAATAGTTTGAGAAAGAAAGTTATCCAAGAGCGCACGTGCACGCAGACAAACACAAACAGGGTTTAATAACTACAGACACGTGAATGCTGCGAGGCATTCAATTGACAGGGATGAAGAGCAAATAATGACGGTGTTACTGTCAAATACAAATGGGGAGCCACGAAAAAAAGAATGTGAACAGTAGATTTGATGGGGAATCAAATTATAGCGAGGCCCTGTACACATGATCAGCTGTGGAAACAGGTCACAAGGAGAGAATGAGCATTGAATCACCTTCAACACTAGTTCTAATATTTGAAAGAAAAATTAAGCAGTGATGGGCCATTATTCTGTTTTGTCACTGGGTAGGAGTTCTGAGATTTGCAGATATAAGTTTACAAGACTTTTAGATATAACCATGGAAAGAAATAAACAAGCACCCATTAATGAATTGGTTTTTGTCATCAATCAAACCAACCAAACTATGTTAACGTTTATTTCTTCATCAGCACAATCTTGCAAAAACTACTCAGCAGATTTCCGCTAAACTTGGAAGATTCATTGTGGTTTTATATGGAGACTAGTTGCCATTCTTGTTTTTAATTGAGTCATAATGGTAATCCAGCCTCTAGTTGTTCAGATATTTAACTAAAAATCCCTCATTTCAACCTGTTGATGGCGCCAATGGGATCAAAGTCAGTTGGATTCATCCTTAGTGGAACACAAACATCTGCACTGGATTTCACAGTGATCCATTAGACAGTTATTAAGGTTTGTTTTAGTCTGGTGCATCACAGTAAATAAAGATTGCTGTCCGAATGTTTAATGACATTTTTATACCCTATTTAGTGCACTCATTGTTTCCCATAATGCATCATGATGCATTGCGCTCACAGCGGAACTACAAGGAGCGAGGGCAGCGGGTCGTCCATCTTTATTAATGATCTTTCATCTGCACTACAGTGGGCCATCTGTAATATAACATGTGACCGGAGTAATCTGCTCCTCATCCTCTTAATTCAAGAAGATAACATGTCTCACGCTACAACCCCTTCTTCCGTCCCAAAGAAAATCATGGCAACTCTTATGACTCTACCGCTGCTCACAGCGCTGATCACGTGCAGACAGCCTGAGGAGGAACTGGCCTGACAGTTTTGGGAGAGGGGAGAAGGTGGGAGGTCAGTGATGAACCAGAGTTTCACCTGGTTGTAGGAGAGGTTAGTCTGAGCCACCTGGTGGGCTGATATCAAACCCTGAGCCCAGCTGGGAGCCGCCATCTCCAACAGGGCTGCTGGCTAACCACACACACCATGCACGAGGGAGGGAGGGGGAGAGAGAGAGAGAGGTGGAAAGAAGAGGCAGATGTGGCAGAACAGAGGGGAGAGAAAAAAAAGCAAACGAGAAAAATTCAAGACAAACGCAACAAAAAGGTTAATCAGCATTTAGCATGTGCCAGTTTTAATTGATAGAGACATGTGTTAAACAGCAGCAGGTTAAGGTGGTATGAATTGTTTATGCTTGAGTAACAGTCAATGCCACCTTAAGACCTAAACAAGTTATTCCTTCAAACTTCAGTACACACACACACACACACACACACACACACACACACACACACACACACTCACAAACAGTTTATTGGATTACACAAATGTGGACTCACACACACACACACATGCCGTTACCTTGGCGATCTTGGCCTCGTCCTTCTTCTTCCCTTTCTGTAAGGAGCCAAAGTGATGCCTGGCACTGTCAAAGTCCACCATCTTCCTATCGCGCTTTGCTATACGAGCCTGTGGGTCAGAATGTTCACGGTGAAATGACCACAACCCTTCAAATTAAAGCTCTGAATGAGATGTTACAGTCTCTACCACATTCACACATTTGAAAAGGTGGAACAGGGCTTTAATAAATGCAGAACAGCAACGATAAAAGCAAGAAAAAGACTCAAATTGACCCCAAAGAGAATTAAAATGACTAAAAAGATTCAAGACAGCAACATAAAGACACAATGTGACCAAAAAGAAATTAATAAACAGATGCAGATCAACCACAAAAAGATGCAAAGAAGCAAAAAAAGATATAAAATGACCAACAGGGTCTAAAACTGTCTAACAAGATGCAAAACAGCAACAAAAAGATGAAAAATGACCCCACACTCAAAATGACTCAAACAAGATGCAAAACAGCAACAAGAAGACAAAATGACAGAGGCTGGAAATACCCAAACAACCAGGCCAGATGCACTCAATCCACTGATGGATACACAATGACTCAAAAATTAAACAAAGAACTACAAAAAGATGCTCGGCGTAATTCTGAATTCTGAAACTTTGAAGCTGAAACTCGCTTTTTATGCAAAATTTGAAACACAGGCACCTTAATATCAGGAAACTGAGTCAGGTACGTGTCCATGCAGGTCACAGATTTGTCCGTGATGCTCTGGTGGTAGTCCAACCACAGCGTGTCTGTGTCCTGTAACACAATGCAACAACACAATTTAGAATACAACTGTTATATCACAAAAAAAACCCCACATAAATCTGTATAATGCCTTTTCACACTGCCGGACCTATTTTTGTGCTCATCAGCTCATTGGCAACTGTACACATTTTTCATTTGCATTCAAAACAGTAGTAAAATAAAATAAATAGTGACTACATTTAAATGTAATCAACCCTGCATGGCTCCTAATATACCAACTCTTGGTACAGCACAGTCGTGTTTGCAACCCTGCAGAGTGAAAGCAACCTCAGCTGCATGTTCTATCTATAACACAGTTTTTAAAGAGAATATGAAAGTCTGCTCTAAAACCAAACTGAACTTCCTCTACTGCGGATCTGCTGCACCAGTGTCTCCCACACGAGCCCATAATGGAAACAATACCCACCAGAATAACTTTTCTTCGTTCTCTCTCTCTGACAGCTGCAGAGTCTGAGTCACATTCATATTCATTTGCTTATAGTGAGAATAAGTTCCCCGCTATAAATAATGAACCCTTATCATTGGGACACACTGGAAGCTTCCTACATTTTACCTCCAAGTTATTGTCCATCTCCTTTTCTATCATCTCCTTCAGGATGGAAGGAGAGACGCATGCAGTTAGGAGAAAGAAAGAGAAGACAAAACAAAGGAAGGGAAAGACACCGGAGAATGAGACATCCCTCTCTGAACAAAGCAGAAGCAGAATGTGGAATGTTTTTAAATCTCAGGCTGTTTTAGCAGATGAATGGGGAAGAAAAGGGGATTCAAATGATCATTGTTTAATAATAAAATTTACTGGCAAGGAGGCATCATTCTTCACTTTCTTCAGACTCAAGTTTGTCATCAAAATATGAATGTATTTAAAACAATGTGTGTACATAAACACATTTCCTTATTTCATGTATCATTACAACAACTTTCCGAAAGTGCAATTCCACAAGACAAGCTGAGGAAACCTTGCTGTTATAGTTTTAGATTTAGTTGTAGCAGAGGTAGTCGAGATTCCGAGGAAAGAAGAAAAGGGAAATTATGAATTTCTCCAGTGGCAATTTTGCGCATCACAAATCAGTTTCCCTGGTCTCACCTCTGCCAACGCATCCATCTCCTCTTTGCCAAACCAGTCAGGCTCGTACATGTCGGCCAGACAGTCCTGCAGCCGCCGTGACGCATCGTGCAGAGCTGAAACACAAACAGACACAATAACACACAAGGACGTTTACCATATTTTCTGTGCAGTCAGAAGTGTGTGTGTGTGGCTTAATTCCAAATGCAATGATCTATACCAACAATTTAAATATAAGATCACAGACGCACTTACTTTTCACTGCTGTCACGTAGGTTTTCAGGTCTTTCTGCAGTTTGGTGCCTTCTACCTAAAAGAATAAAGAAAAAAGAGTTTGAGAGTAATGGAATAAATTTAAAGAGATGGATCATAACGACAAAGAGGATGTAGGAATGTCATTTTCACTATCTTCAGAACATATAGAAACAGATGGATAAATCATACTTTTTGCATTTCAATATATATCCCTCCATTAAATCAATAAATATTCCAGACTCAATTAAAGATTTAAAAAACTGGAACTGGCCATCTGCTTGTTGAAGTTTGCCACCATCTCCTCAAAGGCAGCATCTCGGGTCTCGTCCGCTTTGCCGAGCTTCTGCAGGACCTGCAGAGGGAGACAAGACCAAAGCACAAAGATTTGAAAACATTTTTCTGCTGCGTTTCGTTTCGCTTGTTTTTTTTCAGAACTTTAAGTAGAAACACGTAGGTGGGTCTATTTTCAGGCTGCCTGTCGAAGCCATGTGTTTCCCCCGTGTCTGCGCTTCACACCAGCTGTGTGAACGTCAGGATGTTGAGGTGAAAAGGTCAAAGTCTCTGTGACCTGCTGACACAGTCAAAATTAGATTTTACTATAAAATTGAACAAAGTCACTGCCACATGTTAAACTTGAAATATGTTCCCTGCTGCACTGGACAAGGACGGAAGGGGAAATGTAGGAGAGACAGACAGAAGGAAAGAAGGACAATAGAAAAAGAAAAGGCAAAAGATGAGGAGAGAAGGAAGGAAGGATATTGTAAGAGAGAAGGAAGGAAGGAAGGAAGGAAAATGTAGGAGAGAAGGATATAAAAGGAAGGAAAGAAGGGAGGAAAATGTAGGGGGGAGGAGGAAAGAAAGATTTATGAAGGAATGACAGAAGAGAAAAAGGCAGATTTAGGGGGAGACAGACGGAAGGAAGAATGGAGGGATAATGTACTAGAGAAGAAGAGGAAGGCAGGAAGGAAAATGCAGGAGAGAAGGGAAGGAAGGAAGGAAGAGATATTCATCCAGTCCGTTCAAACAAAGATTGGTTTTCAGTTTTCAGCAGGTCGATTCATTTAGGAGGCAAAACAAAATAAAATTAACACGTGTCCATATTACTCCGACCCCACATCACAAGTGTGAGGATGTACCAGTACGAAAGTCCAGTGTGACCAGTGTTAAAATGAAAAATGCACAGGATTTTCTTCCACTTCAGTAAATCAATATGTCCACGTTATCAGACCAATCTGCAGCTCATGATTTAAATAATCAGTTTCCCTGAATTTTGTGGCAGATAGTAAATCTGTTTCTCAAAAGTGTAAAGTCTGTCTTTACCCTGATTCTCTGTTCTGCTTTCACCTGATTCCAGAGAATGAAACCGACGTCATGGGGAGCCTGAAGACGTTAGAGAAGAAGAAGAGGAAGACGACAAGTAAAGGAGAAAGAGGAAGGAAGAGGGTGAAAGAAAGAAAGAGAAAGAAAGAGGAAGAGGTAGAGAGCGAAACTGAGGTTCAGCTTGACAACTACCAACCCTCTCTGATTGGCCCTCAACTCCAACACAGGTTCACCCGCTTGCTCTGATTAGACTTGTGGTGATAGACAACACATGAGGCCCTTTGCGTCCTGACTGGTCGAATCAGGATCAATAATTATAACCACCTCTATGATTAGGTCACGTTTAATCAAATTTACATTTACTCTATCAGTGTCTCTGCTAAATGTCAGTCGACTGCCGGTGACGCCACAGTGACCGAACGAGGGATTACGGCAAGCGAGGAAATCAAGACGTTGCTTTTGTCATTCTCAGTCAGACAAGGTCACCGGTGGCTAATCTGGTGACTGACTGCGAGCACATGGACGAGCCTCCACCACCACCACCACCACCTGCCACACTAATCCCATGACGGATACACAAATGACCATCAATACGATGGAGGGGACTTCCCCACTGCTCTAGCACACACACACACACACACACACACACACACACACACACACACACACACACACACACCTCGCTGCCAGAGTCTGTTTATAGCCCTCAAGAAATACTTCAACTTACCCCCAAGTGAAATTCCCTCATCACCTCTTTGGGCCTGTCATTTTAACAAATAAAACATTTTCCATAATGGAAATACTTTAAAGCAGAGTACTTAGAGTAAATGCACTTGTCATGTTCCACCACTGAGATTACACATTTTCGCAAAAAAGCGTAAACTGCCAATGCAAAAGAAGGTAACGCTCAACCAATCAAACTTTATTTGTATAGCATCTTTTGTCCAGGTCATGAACCAAGTCTGCTTCCATAAAATAGTACTAATAATATTAATACACAGGTAAAATGGTATAACATTTAAAATGTAGATGCAATAAAATAATGGACCATACTTTAAAAGCCATGGTGAAGAGATTCAAGGTTTTAAGCTTCAAAGATGTAACGCTTGTTTTGCATGTATTCAGGTTCCAGCAGCTCGGAACAAATGGATTTCTCAGACAGCAATGTATCGACAAATGTATCGTTATTAATTTGATTTATTAATTATTGGACTGGGTCCACAAGGGGGAAATTCAGTGGCTCCTGCTGCTGATCTATGGGATACATTTCATATTCTGAAACTGCAAAACAAAAAGGCTTTGAAAGGTTGGAACTTGACGTTTGAAAGCTTGAAATCTAATAAAAGAAAAGGTTCTGAAAGATTAAAACAGAGTTTGGAGACTTGCATGATGTTTTGCCAAGTTTCAGATTCGCCACTGTTCTCCGAGTGCATCGGTTTGTTTTCCAGGTTTGAAACCTTGGCAGTGGTGATCTGAAAGCTGGTGCACATATGTTGGAAAAAAATGTTCTGAAATGTTGAAATGTGAGATATGAAAGCTTGAATCTTTAGTTTGAAACTTTGCGGACACATCTGTAAAAAGTGCCCAAATACATACAATTTACTGCAAAATTCAACACCTTTAGAGATGATCTAATACGGTGCATCTATTAAAATCCAGATCTATTTCTGGACGACACAGCTACGTATCCTCTGCAGCCCTCAGTGTCCATCACTTCATTGTATTCAAATATTTCATGGTGCACTCAGGTGGTCCCCCTAAAGTCTGCAGAGATCACGTGTATGGTGCAGTTATGAGTCGGGGGGGGGGGGGGTATGCTATTTATACTTTAAATTCAGGTACAATGGAACATACAGGAGTGTAGCACTGTGTGTGTGTGTGTGTTCACAGAAGGTCGTAGCCGTCGGTGTTCAATTTCAACCCCCAAAAATATAGCAGCACACACACACGGCCAGTTTGTTGGGTATTAACAGTGATGAGGAGAAGGCCTGGGGGGGCTAAAGATAGATGGTTACACCCTCTCCACACACACACACACACACACATATCTGGGCCCTGCCCAACAGTGAGGCATGCTGGGAGTCCTGGGAGGGAAGGACAGGTGTTCAGGCCAATAGGGCAACTTCGAGGTTTGATAACTTTGGATTCCAGTTACTAATCTTCGAGAGTTGTAAAAATATCTGGTCTTATTTGTGTGAGTGTTGATTCTAAAATCTCTGCAGTAGATACTTTGAAGAAGAGTTCAAATATCAAAGTGTGGCTTATGCTTATCATTTATCTTATTGAATGTCTTTTTGTAAAACCGGACATAACAATGGATGTTTCATCACAATAAGCTGCTCTATTAACTTTCCATCCTGTTTCCTTTGAGAAAAGCACATTCAAGCAAATTCAGGCACAGATCAAGAATGGAAGAATGCAAGCATGCTCACTGGACTTGTTATGGAATCTTCCCAGGGTGAGAATGCAAATACCCAAGTCCGTTGCACATTTCATGAGATTTTTCCTCCAAGCCCCTAAGTAAAATATCTGCAGCAGTCGCCAACGATGATGTCAATGTGGAAAGACGAGGTTCGGGAGATTTTGACAATATGGAAAAATGTCCATACCCAATTCTCCGCACCTTTCGTGTTTGAAAACTTAAGTTAAGTTTAGCGGACATGCGATGGGACGTTTCAGGTGATTTAATCTAAAATAATGAGGCGGTTGCATTCAAATTATCTCCAGATATGTTCATTCCTCTAAATTCCAGTGTGAAGGAGGGGTGTCAGGTTGGAGATTCTTTTGGGGGGTGGGTGAGACCTCTGGGTGCAAAGAGACAGGGGGGGTTAGAGTCACAGGGTGCTGCCTCCCACACCAGGTAACCGGCTGCTTTCTAAAGGGCACCACCACCCTCCTCCTCTTCCTCCGTCACCATCATCTGGATTCCTCTGAGGGACATTCTCCCAGCATGCCCTGCACAGCTGACATGAGGCGCTGACACAACATCACTATGACAACCGCAGCGGCACCCATGAGGAGGCATGGGATTATTGTGTCAGCTGGTCTGAATCAAATTATAACTTACAGTGAAATATGAAACTGTGACAACCAACGTGGCACCGAAAGTCACTGATTCCTCGTTCTATCATTCAAAATGATGTATAATCATATTTACGCCTTTGCAAGATTGTTTATACGAATGCATCAATGCTTCAGCAACGTTCTAGTGTCGTAGCTGTTTAGGGTGGAGCCGGCTTTAACAACTTTATATACAGTTTGAAATGAATAAAGCTGCAAATGTAGCTGCAGATAAATTTATGTATTATTATTTCCCTGTGAAATGTAGTGAAGTGTAAAGTGGCTTCAAAAAAGTTTTCCAGTAAAGTACAGGTACCTCAGATGTGTAGAAAATGCAGAATTTGAGTAAATGTACTTAGTTGCATTGCAGAGCTGGTCTCAAAACACATTTGCTTCTTTCCAAAAAACCAGAGCCGTATACTGCAGTCGGATCAGAAATAATATAAGAATATATATATCTTACATATATATCTTATATATCTTGTTAGCATCATATTCCTCTTGGAGGATCGTGAGGCCAGATTAGAAAATGCAGTGCAGATTTTGTTGGCTAATCTTTGGTAAAACCTGTTTCCTCGCTGTATTTACAAACCCCACAAAAACAGAAACAACACAACACCCATCCACAACAGTTGCATGTTGGGAACCTTTAAAGCTGCACTATCTATTTGTGAACAATGGATCTGATGACAGTGTGCTGTGTCAGGTGTTGTCGGCAGCAATGAAACAATTACCACCTGAATGTGCAGCTCTGCAGCTAAAGAGCCTGGAAATTCCTAGAAGAAGGTGGTGGGGAGAAAAATGGAGGTAAAAGCGACTAAATATGTGAGTGGATATTTTGCGCCTCCTCCCCTACACAGGAGCGTAAAAGACGTACAGTAAGTGAGCTGGAGAAGTGAACTGTTGGAGGGCGGCGTGCCAGCAGACAGACAGCTGAAGCCGGCGCTCCCCTCCTCCACCTCCGCCGGCCTTCAGAGGGAAAAACGATACCCTGACCTTCCTCTCGGCTACCAGCACTTCAGCTGAAAGCCTCAGTGTCGCCTGCAAGCTTCTCTGTTCTTCTTGCTACTGTTATTTGTGTAAAATTAATTCCCCTCCAGAGAAATATCCATGGAGGACAGGAAACCTTGAACTCTGTGAACGATCCTTGGATTCTACGGTTTTAAGATACAGTGGAAAAAAAAGAAATGCTGAAGTCATGAATCATTAAATTTCAGACTACATTTAATTGATTGTTGCATTAGATTTGGTCTAAAGCATCAAAATAAGCATAACATTTTTTATTTCCTGATCGGGTACAACCACCCAGTGCTAATCCACATCCTGTCAAGCTCTGGCGAATAAACCCCCATAATATTCCCTGCAGGGCACAAAACAATGCCGATACCACCATCCACACTTGGTTTCTTATTCTGTTCCTGGTCTCCCTCTCATTTTTCTACATCTTGCAAACGAGAATTCATATATTTGTTTCCCTCCATCTGAAACTTTCAGCAGCTTTAGCACGGGCGACACTATGAGTGCTCTCCTCAGGGGCATTGCAAGGGGGGGTCCACAACAGGGACAATTCTGTTGGAACCTCTTAAATTCCACGATCGACGAGGCCCATGCCAGGAACGTTTTGCTGAAAACCTTGTAAATTTAGAGGTTTGGCTAAAGACTACAACTTCAAAATGCGTGTGTGTCATTTGGTGGGAGTTTGCACTCAAACCTTGTGTACTTGTACACGTCCTTCTTGGGGCAAAGATAGATCAGTTTGGTTTGAAGCATGGCCCCACAGGTTCCTATTGCCTGGGGCCCTAAAAAGTCTCTTGAAATGCTCCTGGCTATTTTTTTAAAATTCCACATATTGCTCTTACTTGACAAAACTCAACAACACAGATTCGCTATGGCTGTAGAGGCGAATTTAGCGTGGAGCATCTCCCGACATATAATGGTAACACATCCATCAACAGCCACGAGTGCATTCTGGATTTTAAACTGGAAACGCAGTGAAGCACGGAAACAAACCAAGCGATAAAAATACAAGGTTTAAAAAGCAACTCTCTCTGACTGACTGACCGGCAGAACTCCTGTTGTTGTACTGAGGTGATTAGAGAGTAAAACCTCAGCAGGCTTAAGCAACAAGAGTGATTAGGACAATAATAACCCGGCGAGAGACAGAGAGCTGCACACAGATTGTTGATCAGGTTTCACTTCGTCACTTTTGGAGCTCTTCCTCCTGCAAGAGCCGTCATTCAGTTTTTACTCCAGGGTTGCTGGTTAGTTTGCAAAAGATCTTTGATTATTTTCAACACTTTTTTTCTCAACCTTACCTTCGTTCTTTCCTTCTTTTGCTTTTCTGGGTGATCTAAAAGCATTTTAATGACCCCACACTGCGGTTTTCAGCTGGTTACAATCACATTTTTAAACTTTAAATGCACATTAATCGATTTGACGTCTCTTTCCTGCATTGTTTGAAGCTGTAAGCACAAAAAAAGCTGTAAAGTTTCTGTTTCTTCCTTTGAAAATTCTCTCGTCTGCACTGCAAAACTCTTTTTACCACTTGTATTTATTTACTATTGCTTTTGAAACTTAGAAACTTTAAATGTTGATATATGAAAATACAACCAACTTTCACTGCCACCCTCTAGTGGAAACATTTCAGCCCTGCAGCTTCAGTGCCTTGTTCGAGGGCACTTCGTAAACGCACCATCTGGAGCAAAGCGTTTGGTATGGAAGCAAATGTTCCCTCAATATGAAACAACAAAAACTGAACATAGCATAAATCAGGGGTTTTTAAGGTGTAAAAACCCCTTAAACTATGCAAACTTCTCAACTTTCCAACATGGAAACCAATTCGATGGAAATTATGATTTTCATAGAGTTTTATCATGATGAGTAGCTCACCCATCTGGTACTTTACCATTATTCTTCTGAATTGAAAGCCTTTACAAACACTTTATTGTTTTTACGCATTTAGCTCTTAAAGGGCACATGTATAATGTTTGGGGTTAAGGTACAAGTTTGGGGATCTTTAAAAAACGCTTAAACCTTACAGAGAACACATTCAAAATATCTAAAGGGCATCAGTCCCATTGAATTTCCAACCTGACTGAAAAGTTAAGGCCGAACATGAGCTCATGGATGTTCATTTAAGATTCTACTTTTCCTTTTTAAACGATTACACTTCATAATGCTGAATAATACAAACTAATATCAAAATAATGGCATGTTAAGGTACATTTAGAGATAACCTTTAGGCTACTTGATTGGAACATTAGTTTATTATAAAGGATTATAAAGGTTTTTTCTGTTATTTCCAGCAAGAAATGCTTAAAACAGCCAAATACTGATACTACTGATAATACTGAATTCAAGTATAAATTAAAATGCTGGTGGCTGTTGCTTGTTGCTGACCTCTCAATGGAGTCTTATCCTCTAAACCTTCCAGAAAAGCAATTCATAGTAATTAGACATGTTAATTATCCAATCAACTGCCTCATTGGCTCCATATCCACAGGCTGAATGAAGTGGTATTTGAAGGTAAAATGTAGAAGGATCCAGTTTCACAGTGACAGTAGGACACCGTGTCCTGCTGCTATGTGAGCCTGCGCCTCGACTGAATGAAAAGTTCAGGCTCTCACCTTCTCCTGCGCTCTGGTGAGCCTCTTCTGGACGTTGATGGCCAGTTTCCCGGCGGTGACCCCTTTCCCCATCTCGGCCATGCTTGCTCAGGGCTACCCCGAGGGCGAGTTGTCAGGACCAGCGAGGAGGACGGAGAGGAGGTGATGTGTCGCAGAAGGAGAGAGAGCCTTCCCCTGGATACCGAACGGTGCGTAAAACCCCTCCGCAGGGCGACTTGGCTCACTGAGTGTAACTCTAATCCGGGTGACAGTTTCTTAAAGGTGCAACGCGTAATTTAATCCGGGTTGTGTGTGTTGCAAGGAAGACAAGAGGGAGAAGAGAGGGAGAGGAAAAAACAAAAAGCAGGTGGTGCGCAAAAGGGGCAGATTGGAATATCGTCCGGTTCTCGACTGTTAATTGATGGGAGACTTGAGCTCAGATATGGAGAGATAGGATATTAGGTTTCCTCCTCACTCATCCTCTTAAAGGCGCAGCAGGTTGTTGTTATAATTAGACACACAACTGTTGCATACATCCAACTGGTGTGTTGCTGCTGTCTTTACGCATGACTATTTTTGCGCACGGAGCTGGTTTCCAGTCAGACGCGAGGGCTAAATTAGTCCTCAGCACCCAAAGGAGACACACATGCATCAGCTGCACATGTAGACGAGGAGACATAAAGCACAGGAGTCCTACTTTTTTTTAAATAGAAGCCGGCAGATGTCAGCAAAGGCCACCCCTTCAACAGAAAGAAAAGAAACACATCTCATTTCCATATAATTTAATTTCAAAAATAAATCTTTTTTTCATATCTCTTCACCCACAATAACTTCATAAAACATTACAGGATTTCTGGTAAACAAATAAAACACTTAAATACACTATCATTTATTCTAAAACCTCTGTGTTAAAGCAGTAATGTTACATACAACTTGTTTACAAAGAGCACAACATCCCCGTGGACACTATCAAACTAAATCCCTCAAATTCCTATTAATTGATTGATTTACACATTAATGTTATCACACTCAAGGTATTATAAAGGGTTTTAATCACTTATTTTATACATAATCTTCTTAATGGATTACCTGTGTGGTTTAAGGGTTTTAAATTGGCCAACTTCTTAATTCACACATGAATTTTGAATATTTCATTAGTGAAAGGTGTTATTAAGGTTTGAATTTTTTATCTTCAGGTACAAATGAATGACATTTGAAGGAGTTCTTACTTAATTTTCATGCATTTGAAAGAATTACCCCAGATTAATAGTAAATTATTGATACATTCATGGAACGTATTATATTAAGGGTTTTAAAAGGGCTTTTCTGAGGGTTAAAAACCCCTTAAATGTGATCGACACATTTCAATCCCCTTCTAATCATTCAGAAAATCCACTGAAACCCCAGATTATGTTACGATTTATTGATATAACCATTTTGCAATGTATCGATATTCGATTTTTATGGTTTTAATTAACTATAAAAAGATTAGCGGCACAGTTTAAGAGTATTTAGGGAGTAAGAACCCCTTAACAGTGTCCAATAAAAACAAAAACTATCCTTCAATTAATTTATTTGAACCTGAAAATATCTTAGACCACTAAGGTCGACCACAATCCCAACGTTTAATGTGTTTAGTTTTTCGATTTCAAACAATCTCCACTTTAAGTTAAGGTGCTTAGTGTGTTTTCTGGGGTAGATGAAGGATTAATAACAGGATTATTGGTCCATAGTGTTTCAAGGATACATAGTCAAAACCCTGTGTTTTGAGCTCATTCTGACTCTGCGTGATCTCATATTCTTATATCTCCTTCTGAGATTTAGAGGAATTCATCTGTGTCAGTTCACAGATTCCCCCCCCCCCTCTGTTTTCCCAGTTGAAAAACTCCCATCATGCCTCAGCAGGAACCCAAACTCCCATCCTGTAGGTAGTTTGTCGTGGTTCCTGTTCAGCTTTACAGGTTTGTATTTGGGGTCCATGTCAGTCACAAGGTGAAGGAGTTCAGGTTCCTTTCTGAACCTTTTTCCCCTCCCTCACCTGCCGTCCTGAGCCACGCCCAGCGGGTGGAGGCGACCGGAGTCTAGCAGCAGCCTCCCGAGCCAGTGTAAAAGCTGAGAGTACCAGTGGATCCCATCACTGTGGGGTCCAGTGGTGCCAGTCCAGCTGTGCATGAGCCTGAGCGGGGAGAAGGCCCAGTGAGCCAGGGAGTGTTGGTCCACCATGGCGTAGCAGGATGCAACCACCCCGTCCACCACCACTGTCCCATGCTGGGTCAGCGGAGCAAACGCCCCCCTCCTCTCCCTCAGGGTGACCTGCGTGATTCGAGACAGACGTCCCTCTCTGTGATTCTGCCCTGGTTTACCCTCTAACACCAGCACACACTGCCCCGGCCTGGCATCACTGGCGTACACAGTCCTGAGGGTGCCGGGGGTTGGGACAGCCCCCTCTGAGCAGTTCCCCTCGGATACAATTATTAGGTGGGCGGCGGTGAGAGAGAGCTGCATCCTGGATTCTGTCTGCAGAGTGTAGAAAAGTTTCTGGGTCACAGGGTCACGGTCCAGGAAGGTCAGGACTTCGCTGTAAACCAGCTCACCGCTGCCGTCACTGCCTGACGAGGCCAGGACCCGTTCACCAGGCTGCAGATCACTGATCGACTTCTGACCGCCGCTCTCCAACGTGACCAAAGCCTCGCCGGGGAAACAACCTCCAGACTTGGCGGCCACTGAGTGGTCTGAAAGACAGACAGAGAGACAGACAGGATGGTTAAAAAAGATGTCTTTACTCTTCAAGTGCTCATTCCTGGCAGGAAAATAAAAAACAACAATGTATAAATCATATGTCCAGTGAATAAGACAGTTAAACTGTAAATCCTGATCTTACATCAAATGTCTGACTACTTGAAAACATAGTAAATCTATTAAGATCTTTTAAATTATTTCCTTTTTTATTATCCACCATTATCTCCTAACTTGACATACAAAGTTTGCATAAATTGAAATAAAAACAAGATCTTGACATTAAAAAGAAACACAATCTTGCCTATTATGACTTCTATTATTGTGATTGTAGAAAATAAAGGTATAATTACAATTTCATTTATTGTTTTGGCACGATTGAGCGCCTGGAAAAGGGCACGAGAACACAATAAATCTTTCGAACTCCCTTTAGCTAAATATTTACTTTTTTCTTTCCTGCAATGGACATAAAAAGAACAATAACTGAGCTGCCGGGTAAAAGCTCATGAATAACGACTGTGTGTGTGTGTGTTGGTGACAATGCGTCCAGGCCCTCGACAGTGACACTCAGGGATTGTCTCAAGTCTATCTGGAGATAAATATTTGGGGAAGGCAGGAAAGTCAAGGCCAGGTGATAAGATAAGTCAGGTGAAGGAGGAAGGAGCAGAGCAGGAAACTCAGCAGCAGGTTAATCATCTGACAGGTTGACGAGGTCCACACGCAGGTCACATGTTTAAAACACATCTCTTCCATGTACAATTTAAACATGTTATCTATTTTAATACAATAATTAATTATTGTCATTTTATCACTTTAAAAGTTGAATTTGCAAAATATTTGATCATATTCTTATATATTTCAGAATCCTCTGAAAATAGCAGAAATCCTGAAATCATAATACAGGCACAGTTTTTCTTTATCAAACAAGAAAACTCCTGTTTCCTCCCTTTCTCATGTTTGTCCCTCAGTCTCTCTCTTTTCTCAGTCCAGTCCATCTACAGGGTCCTGGTACTCTGCTGCCCCCTAGGGCTGCTTCCTCTTGCTCCTCCCCTCTCCTGTTAAGAAGGATGTTGATGCAGAGCTCATCAGTTGTTCCAAGCTTTCCTCACTTGGGAGGATTTCTTTTCTTTGCCTTTTTTGAGGAATTTTCGAAGGAAAAACAGGTGAAATTTAAGAAAAGGGAAAACAATAAAATACCAACTTGATTGGTTGCCCTTCTGATCAAGTCAAGGACTGGGCCCTCGCAACCCGATCTGGGAGGGAAGGAGAGAGGAGGAGACACAGGAAGGGAAAAGGGAGATAAAGTTGGAAAAAGGAGAAAGAAAGAGGGGAAAAAGAAAAGGAAAAATCTCATTACCACTCAAATGTGTCAGGCTGTGTTTAAGTGGGTGTTTAAATTCTGATTCATTTTTACAGCAGTGTGCGATTTTCTGCACGTCTGTGCGTTCACATGTTTGTGTTACTTTTCATGCTGGCTGCACATTTCCTCAATACACACTATACACCGTTATGAGCGGTTGATATGTCAAATATGTAGAATGTGTGATGTCCTGAGCAACTTTTCCAGCATCAACAACAAAAATAACCTGCAGACCTCAGCACTAATAGTACTCGTAACAACATCTTGGCTAAATGCATTGTGATCAGATCAGGGTGTAAGACCCACTACGACATGCAAGACGAAGTCTATTTGACCAACAGGACTGGAGCTAAACCAATAGGGTTGACAGGCTAGAGAACAGCTGATTATGTTAAATTTTGTGAGAACAACCTTAAGTTCTATGATCGGCTACGTACAGGTGACTCAGGAAGGTCAGAAACTCTCTTTCTGCCAAAATCTTTTTTGGGGGGACTGGTTCCATGTTGAGCCCCCCAGTTTCCCTGGAAATGCTCCTGATGCTTAGAGTCTTTATCTATCCGGTGTCTGATCGGTTTCGGCTTCGTTCCACAGGGACAAATAGCAACAAGGCGTCCAGCAACAGTTGCAGAGAACTGATCTCAACATCGCAGAAGACCGACCATATCCACAGAAGAGCTGTGGAACAACCCTCCTGCCATGTATGTCCCTCAAAACTCTCTAATTAAGACATTCTTTTTTAAATGGTCATTACTCTACTTTTAGTGCTGATTTCCAGAGTGTATCTCAGCGTTTGAAATGATTCAGACTGAAATAACAAGCAGCAGCAAACAAAGTGGCGGCAAAGCCTCCATTTAGGTACTTACACCTAAATAATAACTTGAATTCAGTGGATGAAGAAGATTTAAATGGATCTGTGCTTCAATTCTATCTTGTTTAACACTATTACAAATATCTAACACAATAAAATATCACACTAAGTCATGTAAGGTGTATATAATAGGCTAAAATTAAGGGTAACAGCCAAGTGACTAAAAGTGCGGTTGGACATGAGAGAGGTATATTTGGTCTTCAAGCTAATCTTCTGATTGTTAAACCATTTGTGGCCATAGAAGTCGTTTTGAATCGGGAAACTTTTCATAAATGGGCATTAATGCTGCGATTAATGAATCTTAATCTTCTGAAATCACCAGATGTGTGTTTGTATGAAGGAGATGAGCCTGCATTTGTTTGAGGGAAGCCAGAAAGCCACGAGAAAGAAGCCAGTCTGAGAAAACATGGGGTGAGTGGCTGATGAGAGAGAAGAAGAAGAGGATAAGGAGGAAAGTATAAGAGCAAGCGTCCATTTACTTTAAATGCAAACTGGAAAGGAGTTAGTGATCAGGCAGGGGTTGGAACAAAAACTGCTAGAAAGAAAATCAAAAGGCAGCAGAGGCAGTCCCTGTTAAAAGCTGCTGTTGAATTTCTGAACCTGAACCAGAAAATCACTCCACTGAGACGTCTTGGCGCTAAAGTAAGTCCAGTGTTTCTCTGGCTGTGTGGGACATTTAAAGTTTTAGACATAAAATGGAGATTCACTGCCGAGAAAACACATGTAATGTGATTAGTAATATATCAAAGCTGAGTAGGGAGGGAGAGAGTGAGAGCTTTTGTCAGCGTCCCGCTCAGATTACGAGGCTGTGGTTTTCTCCTGGAGGCCGGCGCAGATCGTGTCTGCGTCAAACTCAATAATGTGTCAGGAGAAATGGTGTAAACTTTTTTTCCTAATTAAAAATGGCTCCATCCCATCAAGGGTCTATATTTTTAGAGGAAATGGTGGGAAATAAGTTTATCACATCTAGCTTTCTTTCACACGTTGTATAAAGACTGAGATTTCTCTTAAGGCTCATTCATGCTCAACGCTATTCAGAAACGGACGAAGCCTTCTGTCTGTGCTCTGCTTTCATTACTTACGTAATTGTGCACATAAGACACTGCCCTCTAGTGGATGTCACACCTCCTCAGTTTATTTTGCGATCACATGTGCTCAGACATCTTGTTGGACTTGAATAGCTTAAAGTAAAAGGACACTTAAACCTGCACGATCTTTTTTCTCCATGAGAAAAAAGCTACATCACGTGAATGAAACTCGCCGGCCTCTCACCTGACTTGACGCTGCAATGTATGTGGGCTTTGGACTCGTAGTAGACCCAGTCGAACCCGGCCTCCACGGCCAGCCGCGCCAGCATGGCGTACTTGTTCCTGTCCCGGTCCGAGGTGGTGATGTCCACCGCTCGGCCCTCGTAGTGCAGCGACTCCTCCGAGTGGTGGCCGTCCTCGTCCCAGCCCTCGGTGACCCGCAGGCGGACCCCGGGCCAGAGGTTCATCACAGAGATGGCCAGAGAGTTGAGCTTGTCCTTGCAGCGCTGCAGGAGAGGGGGGACACAGCTGAATTTATATTTCATCCTGTATATCATTATTTACAGTAAAAACATAGATTTTTATTCAATTAATGGTTTCATGTAAGGCCAAAAATGTTTTTGTACGACAGGTACAGGTTATATTTGAATCAGGGATTGTATGACTTTATTTTTGCACTTATTTTGTATGGATTTCTATGTTTATCGTCTCCCAAATGATCCAATGTGAGGTTTTGTGATTACGTGATCCAAAAAATGTAAATCCTCTCCACCCTGACAAAGACAAAAAGTGATTACGAGCTGCACAGTGTTCTTCTTGTCTTCCTGTCACATTATTTCCTGAGCGGTGTGGTCACAGACTCGACCCTTGTACTTTTTTCCTGCTGTTTGTTTGAAATTTATGATGTTTTAGAAGTTAAAGCTCCGCCCCTCTGCTACTGCTGCTGCTGCAGTCAGACCCTGAAATTTAAAAACCGATTCAGAAAAGTCTGGACTCTTCACAAAGACCCATTCTCCCTGCATCCATCCACTTCACCAAACCCCCGTCACCCCAGTCACCCCTCTCCCCCTTGTCTGTGGCTTCAGCTTTCCCACAATGCACCCCTGCTGTCCCACCTCGGGCCTGATGTTTGCTCACTGTGGCAAGCGAAGGGAGCCGAGAGGCTATGTTGGGGATGGAAGGGGGGAGTTGAGGGTTTGAAGGAGGGACTGTGAGGTTATGGGGTGGTGGTTGGGGGGGAGTGGGTGACAGCTACATGAACAAGAGGTCCTCAGCGTCCCTCTAAACCTGGAGTCTGGTTAGGGCGAGCAAACAGAAGGTGAGAGGGCCCATTGAGGGACTCGTTCGGCTCCCGCCCGCTCCACGTTGACGCAAATAAATCCTCCAGTCCGCCCAGTTTATCTGATCCACACCCAGACGGCATTGTCAAGGTGTCACCCTTAATACAGGATTTAAAAGAAAATGTCACTTGAGAATTCTTTTTAAAATGTTATTTGCAAAAGTGGGAGGAGAATTACATTGATTGACGTGAAGCTGCTATTTCACACGAAGGCGATAAGGTTAGATATCATGATACGATCGATACGATTGGGCAGAAATGATAATAAAAGAAACGTTTTTGTTTCAGTCAAACTTGGTTCAACAAAAGGACCAGGGCTTTGCACAAATATAACGAGACAGTGCAGTGAAGATGCGAATTCTAACTTTGCAGGGGTGATGCATTTTGGCTCTGTTCAGCTATTTCTTTATGCCATTTATCATTTGTAAAATATTAATTGAAACACTTTGATTGGTCAAAGTCTACACTCTTCTTCATTATGACACCTTTCTAATGTCGAAAATACATTTTTTGCAGAGAATGGATCTTATAACACGTGAAGGGATGAAAGTTTTATCTGTTGAGTTTATTCCAAATTTGCAGTGAGCCCTTTAAAGTCTGAATAACCCCAGTTTGCATGACTGGAGGTCATTCTGCAGCAACTCAGAGCCCCTGAATGCAAGTCTCAGTGATGCAACGTTTCCTGAATCTCCCCCAATTAAGGCTGAAAACGGGGATTAAACCCTATAAATGTCTCTTTCCATGTTGGCTGTGATAAGAATAGCTCGCGGCTCGGTGGCCACAGATGCCTTTTCACGGTGTTCAGTGTGGATTTTAACGTCTAATGTTTTCTCTCTGCGGTCAAGAGCAACGAGGTGGACTTCATAAATCAGACGATAGATTTAGTTGGCTTTCCTTTCAAGGTATATGGATCGACGGGGGTTTCTGTAGGAGCGGTTTCAGCACTAAACCGCTGGCTGCACAAACATTGGACGCGCAGGCTGACAACATGCGCCTATGCACACCTTCGCGCTGCAAAAAGTGTCCCTCTGAAGGGGTCGTTTAGTTTCATGTGGCGTCTAAAAGGCTTGTTTTCTTTAAATTAGGAAACAAAACCACTGGTGTTTTCATTCAAAATCAACCAGTGTGCTTTAGTGCTCTCTTAATTCAAACGCCCTGTGCGTAAAGTGGGGTGATCTTTCTTATTTGGAGCAAGTTTTACGCATCATCTCTGCAAGAAATCCCCTAAATAATATAAGTTTGCTTTTCTTTGCATCTGCTTTGAAAAGCTAAATGCAAACCCATCACAAGTGCAAGTTACATGTGAAGAGTGGAGACTTTTTGCAGTGCGCCTTCGCCCCTGAACAGTCGCGTCAGTATGCAGCACGGAGCGCCCAGGAAAAGGCGAATAAAAACTAAAGGGGCGAAGAAAAAAAAATCTGTATAATTAAGGCTTCGACACAAGTAAAGTGGGCTATTTTTGCACACGGTGCCCTGCGAAAACAAACAAAAAGTTACACGGAATAGCAAAAGACAAACAGGAGGCTGTCTCCTGCGGCTTGGAGCCCATAAATTGTGTGCAGGTCAGCGCCGCTGACGCGCGGCGGCTTCTGGGTGCGCGCTGCAAAAAATGTCGTTTGGAGGAGAGGCTTCTCATTAAGGGCTGCCTGGATTTTTTATTTCATGAACAAGGTTCAAATGAAATGCTTCCTTACTTTCCTGCAGCTATATTTTTTGGGCTTTTCCAGATCACACATCCTGAATTTTGTTATTTCTTTGAACTACATTTTGAAGAAACTCAACCCCAACACATCTTTGCTTCTTGCATTTAAAGGCGTTATCCTTTTACACTTTTCACTTAAACCAGGCTGCAGTGGCGGAATATTTCTTGCAGTGAGCGCTGAGAGGTGACAGCTCCAGACTGGGGTGCGCGCTTTCATTCCCCACGTGGGTCTGTGGACATAAACGCCGCCGCTCGGGGAGGAAGCCCGCGGCCACAAGAGCCAGATATAAATACTTTATTCCTGGGGAAATTGGGAGTCAAATAAATTCCACCCAGCGCCACATCAATGGCGGTGTCGTAAAAATTTCTGACAGTCCAAAAGGCGACTGTTAACCCTGGCCAGTCGGACTTAAACGAAAACGGTAAACATCAGTACACGCTTGACCCGAGCTCTAACCAAATACTACTTTTGGCTTTTTTTCCCCCACCAAAAACATGTTGTAAAACAGAGGACACAGTGTTTTAATTAAGAGCGACCACTTTTCCATATAGACGCGGGGTTACCCTCTTTTTACGCACGGCCTGCCCACAGTGGACCTCTGAAAGTTCATGTGGCACAGAAGACGAGAGCTCTGATTCAAACTCCTCCACAATTCTTTGACTGAGTCAATAAGCTGCAGGGTTGTTTAAGAATCGACTGGACAATGAGTTGTGCAAACAGAAAGGTTTTGTAATCGGTGTTTCCAAAGAGCAGCATTGCAAGAAAATCCATCTGAAAACCGTATTCATTCGAGAAAGAGAAAAAGACAAAAAAGCAGCCTCTGGAAATTCAAAATCAGGTGATGAATGACCCCTTCTCTTAATAAAACGACATATATTTGTCAATGATCTGTTTGGAAAAGTGTGATTAACTAGATTTAGTTTGTTAAGAATGATTGTTTTTGCAGTGACGAGCCTTGGGTCAACAAGAAACACGGAAAAAAGATAACAGCGTCCACGCGTTTAAAGACTGGGCAAAGTGCACCATAACGCACAGAAAAGTCTCTTCCCGAGCTGAAAGACCAAGGCTAAAAGGCTGTACGGGAGCCGGCAGGGTTACCTGTGTCATCATGCGGTCTGCACCTGTGTTCTCCTCATCCTTGAAGATGATGTCGGGGTTGTAGTTCGGGGTGAGCTCCTTGAAGCGCTCAGAGTTTCGCGTTATTTTCCCCTCGTATCTCCCGCTGGCCCCTAAAGTCTTCTCGGCCACGTTGGGGCTGAACTGCTTGTAGGCAAGCGGCACAAGCTTCCTCTGTGGCCGCCTCTTGCCATAACCTCGACCCGGTCCACAGCCCTCGCTGACCGGCGAGAGGAGAAAGGCGCACCCGGCGAGGCACGTCACCAGCGTCGGGAGTAGCATTCCGCCCCGGGGCCGGTGTGTCACCCTCGCCCCCGGCGGGTGGCCAAAATGTCACCGCTGTATTTCTCTTGTCGTGTCCCCTCGTGTGGGTCCCCCGTGGTTGTTTTAGAGTGGAGGTAACGTAGCAGGACTCATCCCCGAGTCCCCAAAAGTCGCCATTCCCGGCGCGTAAAAGTGGCCAGTGCGCCGCAAGAGACGAGCTGCAATGACCCGAACCTGTTCCGTGCGCTGCTGACACCCTCCTGTCCCGAGTGCACGCAGAGGCAGGGGCATAAATAGGCGAGGTGAGTTTATCTTGGCAGGCAGGTTCAAAGCGCTCTCTCTGTGTCGGAGCTGTGAGAAACGGGCTACAGACAGACAGGGAGGCGCGCGGTGCGTAGGCAGGCTGTGCCTGTTGGGCACGGCGGTCAAAGGGTGTCCCCGCAGCGGTTTCTGCCTCTCTGGTTTGTTCTCAATGCGTCCCTGTGGCGCAGGGCTGTTGGCAGAAATGGAAGAGATCCTACTACAGTGCAGATGAGGTGCCGCGGGAGAAGAAGAAGGCCGCGCCCTGCCGGACCTGCCCTCTGCTCCGTCCTCTCCTCCCATCGGGGTGGCACAGGTCCCGCGGCCGCCTTCATCTGTTTATTGTCAGCCGGGGCTTCAGCCGAGAGGACAGAAAAACACCGAGCCACGAGACTGTCCTGGCCGGCGCGCATGCTCCGTCCTTTGGACCCTGGTCTCCAAGTCAAGACGCACGAGCAGGTGCACTCTCTCAGACCCCCCCCGAAAGATTTTAGACTTGGTCCAGAGTGACATAACAGTCTGTGCTGTAGGTGAAGAAGTAAGAAACCTCTGAGCACAAACCAACACTTTTATCTGTTCTCTCTTTCTGCAGAAGCCTCACAGTGACGTTGAACCACCTGTAACCACCTTAAGGGCCCAGGACCCCAGTTTGGAAAAAACACAACCTCAAGATGAAAAACCAGTCTGTCTTTATTATTTTGCGGTGAGGTACTGAAACATACCATGTTCCCTGAACCTAATTTTGAATCTCAGCTGATCCAGAGTGTTTGGACTAATGTCACTGATTTGTATCGAATTCAAATTCTCATTGGGTTATTTTGTCTTTCAGAGGTCTGGTAAGTGAATTTCCATAAAGTTTACAATATCACAATAAACTGAAAGGTGAGAATGAACCAGAAAAGAGAGAGAGAAGATTTCTCTGAGGGATTATTGTGGCACATCAGTTGTTTCCACAATATATTTCTCATTGGACCAGAAGCTTTTGTTTGTTGTTTGTTTTCTTATTGTGATGGTTGTAGTTAAAAGGTGGTTTAATGACACAGTTAGGCATGGTTTTAAATGATGAGGTTTATGAATAATTATGAATTAAAGTGAAAAACAGTTTCAATGTTCATCTTAGAAAATGTTCCATTTCAGCACCAGGGGCTCTTGATCAGACAGAGCAGATAATTAACCTATTTTCACATAATATTTAATCCATATTAACTGCCAATGACTGGAGATGCCGAAAAATAACTGCATGTGACATCTCACTGCGAACATTTGACCAGGTTACTAAAAAACACAACCAGACAACATTATTAGCCCTGAAATGATGTGCTTGGTTTTTGGTGTTTAAGATCTGGGATTGGAATTTCTAGGAGATAGTCTGTACCGAGCCAGGCAGTGAATTATGCCACTGAGCCCTCTGATCCATCACAAAAGGCCAAACTGGGGTCTGAGTAATAGCAGGATTTTGTATTCTTCCTTTCACAAGATTTCAGGACAAACATGAAGTATAAAAGTTAGTGAACCAAAAGGGTGAAAGGTTATAATTAATTACAAAAAATATATTTCATGTTGCCTGAATTTCCTTGGAGTTTGCTGGTAATTCTTTGGACATTTCCTGGAGAGGGCTGTTAATGTGGTACTGATTATAACTTGTAATGCTCTACTAGTTAAAAGGAAACATAAAGTTCATAATCCATTTATGCTGAAGGAATAAATTACTTTTAACACTTGGTACCAGATTGTCCAAGTTGATTTTATTGTCATTGTTGTGTAACCTGCCAGTTTACTTTAATAAAATATCAAGAAAAGCAGAAAAACATCAGACATGATGAAACTTAACTTGGAAAATACCAAACTATCAACTGATTCTAAAAATGTAAGGTGAACAACTTTCTTTCAATCAACTGATAACTGATTAACCGACTTATTGTCCCAGCTCATAACTTAGGGAATTGGAGAAAGTGCTAAGCTATAAAAATGCATTATTTTATAGGACAGTAAATAAAAGAGTTTATAAGACATTCATATCCAAGGAGGAAATTAGATGTTATAATAAACATTATGATTTAATAATAAGAGAATTGACCATATCTAAGTAATGAAGGTAAATTTCAACCGTCAACACACAGGAAAAGCTTATGATAGTGGTGTGAGATGGATGGAAATGTCCTTAGAATTAACTGGTTAATACCGACTTGTTCCTGGGATATCATTATTTGAAGGATTACCAGGATTTTCCCTGGCGACGTTACTAAAAACTATGTATTCACCCTTTCATGTTCCTGATGGATTTCCAGTTCAAATGAAACCACCTCTCAGTCACGTTACTCACACAGAAACACTTGAAATCCTTCGGAGCCATGCAGACAAACAGCGACTTTTCAAATAAGGCTTCAATAGCATTCCGGAGATGCTGCAACACCTTGAGTCAACATCTCACCGTTCTCTGAAAAAAGGAGAGCGGCTGCTGTATCGACCGCTGTCGACCCATTACACTCAGTCTGTCTGGGGTCAGGAAGAAAGACACAGCTCCGAAATGCATCTTAAGATATTAACACAGATGATTTTATAGTTTTAAAACAAAATACATTTAAATAAAAATCAAATTTTATAGAAATGAACGTTAATGCCATTGTAACAGGCCATTACAATAGTTAACATCTCCTCTTTACTACATTTTAACCATAATAATGGAGAACAACCATTAAAATGATACTCACATCTTCAATGGAAACCTTGTTTGACCTGTTTGATTCTAAATGCTCCAAAATACAATAAATCTGTTTCAATCCACAGGGAAGTTGATTGTTCAGTAGTCAGCGGCTTAATCATCTCAATTTTTCAAATACTGAGTCCAAAACATCAAGTGTGATGACAATGATCAGATAGGAAGTGAACTTTAATATAGAATTAAAACCAAGCTTCATGTCGCAGATCATAAAATCATAAAAAATTGAAAAATGCATTTATTTAATTACGTTTTTAAATCATTTCTGCATGGAGTTTAAACCAGATAAAATGTCCCAAACCGCAAAAGCAGAGGTTTAAAAATAAGATACGGTTTTCAAGGCAGACCTGTTTTTGCATTTTTCTCCAAAATGCACTTTTTCCTAATGAGGTTCTTAATTGAGTGTGTGTGCGTCCTACTGCTCGGGCTCATCGGAACAGTCCGACTTTCTTCTTCTTTGGTTTGGAGGACGGTCGCTCTGCTGGATGATCAAAAGACTGAGGGACAAAAGAGCAAAAGACAGATGTTTTTATTATCTTTTATTTGATTTTATTCCAATTTTGAATATACTGGCAATTCTCTTCAAATGTTTCTGCTATAATCTCATACATCTGCATCTCCTATTTGTAAAACGTGTGATCTTAATTTAGTGCTTTTATTCAAATAACCATCGTGATATTTCAGTAAGCGATTATTCACCTAAATTCTGAATTTTCACTGCAAATAGTTTTTACCCTTTTGACCAAAACATTTGAGGAAATTCCCTTTGCAACATTTGAATTCTCCAATAGAAACCAAAATTAAGCACAAAGATGTTTGACTGATGTTTTGCCCAAGTGTTTTAGCATAAAGAAATATCATTTTGACATAAATCTGTCAAAATTATTACGTTAAAAGCAAATAAATGTCAAAAATTAGAAAAGGTGAAAGCCTTTCCTAAACTGATTTCTTATTACAGTCGTACCTGTTGGACTGTGGCTCCATCAGCCATTGTGGCTCCAGTCACATCTGTCCGGTTGTGGCTCTGTTCTCCAACCCTCTCAGCCGTTTCACTGACAGACACAACACCTGAACGTGGAAGACAAAGACAATCACTCGAGCGCTGTGAATTAGACTTATTATTGTACTGTAAGTGTTTGAAACTAAATTAAAATCTGGAAACAGCTGATCTAAAGCGTCAGACTTAAGATTTGTAAATCAGCATCACATTCTGACAATGTGACTGTTTCTTTGACCCACATCCACAAACCAGATTCTGCAGTGGAAGGGTTTTCAGTTTTGTTTCTGTTTTACATCATGCATTGTAAAATGGACGTTTGAATGCCTTGGAATAAAAGCATTTTTCACAATTAAATGATATTTTAAAGAATAAATTATTAAACAATTACAAATTATTAGTCTTGATTAATCAAGCATTGAAATATATTAGCTGAGTTCCTGCAGGATTGTTTGTTGAACTGAAAGTCACTGAGCCTTTGCTTGTAGCTCTTGTGAATCTATTTGAGGGGAATTTGTGATAGTAAAAATAAAATAACCCCTGATAAAGGCTTTATCTAGACAATCATACATTTAAAACTGAACTGATGTCTGTCTGTATATGGAATGTATTGGGATGAAGAAGCATTACATCAGCTCTTCATAAGAGACATTTATATATTTTTATATGTGTGAAGACTTTAAAGTAAACCAAACAAACCTAAGGATGGCGTGAGGTCATGTTCTTCAGTGTCAGGCCGGTCCTCCTGAACGGAGCGCTCCTCCGACAGTTTGCGCTTTTGTGCGCGTGTGTTTCCGTGGGCGACGATGGAGGCGTACATGCGCTGCAGGTCGTCGTCGAAGCCCAGCGTGTCCTGCTGCTCAGAACAAACCAGAGGAAGAGCCTGATGGGAGGAGAGACAGATGGAAGAGATGAGCGACGAGTTTTCTTCAACAGCAAACAGCTGATAACACTGCTTTTGTAATGTTGCTTAGGTGCTCAAGCTTAGAAGTGCTCAAGCTATTCATTCTAGAAATAAAGGTCAGATCAAACAGGTTGGAACTAAACCAACAGTTTAGAAAAATGGTGATAAACATGCGTCACAGTTTACAGTCTTTTGTCTTTACTGCTTCAACTTTAACCTGCTCTACTTTTATTCGAGGCATTTCGTGTGTTCACCTCCAGTTTTACTTTTAATCAAGTGTTTTTGAGCTTCATCATGTTCGAAATATATTCATATGAACTGATTTTATTTCAGAGGCAGATATAGGAGACTGTTTTCTGGGTCAGACACATCCACAAAAGGAAAATGTCCAGAACAGGGGAGCAGGACATGATTTATAAAATCTACTGCAGAAAGCACGTTTATATTTAAAGTACATAAACACCGGTGTCGGCCCTTATCACCAAAATTTCACAAATCTTGCTGTCTTTCCAAGTTTCCAAGTCTCTTCTTAATCCTGAGATATTTGTATTCTTCCAGTTTCACATCTGTCACGTTAAAGATGTCATCGATGCGCCTACTTGCTCGCTGTGAAGTTTCTCAGATGGTCTGCGGACATTGAACTAGGGGGTTGGCAGGAATAGTTCTGGAGCAACTGACCCGGACATCTGTGTTCACACATACAGTCCCTCCAGAAACTTTTAGGAATACATCCAGAGTTCAGTGCATGCATTCATTCTAGTTCTACTGAGTACAGTTGTAGAAGCTTGACACGTCAACCATCTTTAAATTCCTTTTTTTTATTCTGACTCTCCTGTTGATTGCTAATAGATTTCACACTACTGAGCTACTATAAATACGTTTCTTTCCAACAGCCACAGGGTTAGCGTGAAGAACGACACCCTGGTTTACACAATCTACAAAAACTGAGTCTTGGATTTATCTCAGCATTTTCCACAGGTCTCAACTCTTAACACATTAGAATATTATCGTATTAAGTTGAATAAAAATGAAATTTGTCCTTGAAATATATTTTAAAATGTTTTGAATATCTCATTTTTAAAGTTTAAGAGCTTATGTGATGATAATCTGCACCATCCATCTGTATGCTCACTTTTCTTGCCTTAAAGCATATGAACCTATATGTCTAATAGAAATCACATGGACCTTTTCTTTAAAGCCCTCATTCCACGGCCTTAAAGCCAATAAATCCCCAAAAAGAAATAATCATACGCTTGTAATAAAAACATGATTTGAAGTTCCCCTTTTGGCTCAGCATGGTGCCTTGGAGTATGTTTGTTTTACAGCCCTGGTCACTATGGGAGTCACATGTCTGAAGTGTGATACAGGGCGTGCTGGGGCTGAGATAAGCCTCTAATCAAAGCTGCATTATTGGCACAGCGGACCACAGGTAGACTTATGAGCTGGAACAACTAACACACACACACACACACACACACACACACACACACACACACACACACACACACACACACACACACACACACACA